CCCGCCTTGGGCTCAGCTGGCCAAAAATCCTCCCCAAGTCCACCGAGCGCCAGGGGGGCAACACGCTCCATGCCCGGGCAGTCTCTGCTCCCTCACCCTTCCCTCACTGAACACCGCATCCACCACAATCACATGAAACGGCACCAAAAAGGTCTGAGCCTCTTGTCCCTTGCTCCGGAAGAGCCCCTCCACCTCCAGGCCAGGGAGGTGACTTTTCCCTTTTTGTTCGCTGCCGTCCACACGGCCACACAGCAGTCGGCACGAACACGAGCGTTTGGAGAAAAGCTGGAAGCTGTGCTCTGAGAGGCAGCTAGTGACGGCAGCTGCAGCGAGGACTCAGCAGGGGAAACCCCTGAGCGTACCCAGCAGGGTTTGGGTGGCAGGGGGCCACTGCAGGAGGAGGCCACAAACTGCCCTGAGCCAATCACAGCCCGATTCGGATGCTCTAAAACAGATGAAAACAATCCACCATGCACCAAAACCTCCAACAACCAGTCAGGAGAGCACGTGGCGCCGCTGCTCCAATGTATTTTAAGACAGCAGGGGAAACCCCTGAGCGTACCCAGCAGGGTTTGGGTGGCAGGGGGCCACTGCAGGAGGAGGCCACAAACTGCCCTGAGCCAATCACAGCCCGATTCGGATGCTCTAAAACAGATGAAAACAATCCACCATGCACCAAAACCTCCAACAACCAGTCAGGAGAGCACGTGGCGCCGCTGCTCCAATGTATTTTAAGACGGAGCAGCGGCCACGAGGGGCAGGAGAAAACAGAGGAAACGAAACAGAGGAGACGCAGGGAAGGAAATGATGTTGGGGACCTGGCTGGAGAAGGAGGCACTGGGACATGGCTGGCCCACGCCAGGGCAGGGACATCCCCGAGGGACTACAGCCCCCAGGCAACCCAGGCTGAGACAGGGGCATCCCGAGCAAGAAGCAACACACAGAAGTGAGCATGCACACAACCCCAACCTCTGCACCACCCGTGGCCTCACCGAAGGACTGGGAGGGACAGAGCGTGATGAGTGGTGAAAACAAGGGGAGTTGAGACTAGCAAGGGGGAAGGAGAGGAGTCAGGCTGAAGTCGAGCCTGGGGAAAGGGCAGGAAAGACATTTCCCTGTTCAATTGTTTGTTTTCTTTCTTTTCTCAATACTAGAATTAGCAAGTAAAAGTTTGCGTTAGCTGGCAATAAATTAAGCACGATTCTCCAAGTTTGCTTTGCCAGCAACAGGGATCCAGCTCTTTCCGGACAAACAACACAAACTTTGAAAGAACACAGTATAATCTTTCAAAAGGTCTCATGGCTAGTTCCTCTGGGGCAAGAAGCCCTCCTGATCCTGAGTTCTTCGAGTTAGGAGGAGTCTGTCACCCGACCACTGAGCAGGGCAAGCAACACATGCAAGAGGAGCCTGAACATCTCCCTCTTTATCCCATTCTCTCCGGATCTCCCCTTGCTCCTGCAGCTTCCCACACTTCCTTCCCTGTACCGTCTCCCCTTTGGATCCCTGGTCCTCTTAGCTCTTTCCATCCTCTGGTCCAACTCTTCTGTCAGGTCTCCATCTCCCTTCCTCCTTCCACTCACTCCATGACCCGTTCCCCATCCCTGCCAACTCCTCCAGGACTCCTGGTCTCTCACGCATGCTACAAAGGCAGAACAAGCATCACTTTTCACTTTCAGGACAAAGAACAGGATTTACAGTAAACAGTGGGACTCTTCTCATCATTTTATAGCTACGGTTTTCCCCTCAGGGCCTACTGAATCAATCTGGCCTATCAGTGTCACCTGCTCTTACTGAAATTACCCCATCTCACGCACCCTCACAATTACACGCCCCATAACACCTACACAGCCTGTATAGGTACTCCAAAACATCATTTTCTAAAGTCCTGCCAACCTCATACTTCTTAGCAGACTTCCTTTCAGCCCCACTCCCTTAGCAATAAGGCACCTTTCCCAGCTTACTCTGCATTCCTCTCTCCCATCTCCCTTTCCCTTACTGTGTCTCCCATTTCTCCCTCTCCAAACCTCTATATTTAACTTGTACTCAGCAGCAGCAAGAACTGCTTTCGCATAGCTATCGCTGCTATAAGCCAACAAGTATAAAAGTGTGCAAAATGGAAGAGATTCAGATCTGCTCCTATCCAGGCCGCTTGTGTACAAATCATCTTCACCACTTGCTTCTGTCATGAAAACTGCTCAACTACACTCTAAAACACAGAAAGTCAATCAAGAGGCATGTACTAGTCAGGAGCAGTCCTCTGAAAGTATTTCCTTACTTAAAATTATTTTAGTAATTATTTACATATTGACAATGTTCATTAAAATCTGTGTTCAGTAAAAAGAAGTCTGATTTTGAAATGCTGTGTATTAGCCTGTTTTTTATTCCTTTTCTCCTCATAGTGTGGCATTTAACTTCTTTGCCTTCCTGGGCTCCCAAATAACATTGTTTTCAATGTTAACTAGAGCACCAGTACAATACCTTTGTTGTGAAACTTTTATCACACACAAGAATAAATTGCACAGACTGAGAAGCCTGTATTTCTTCAATCACAAGCTAATATATTTTGCTAATACTAATGGCCTGAATTCTATCACCTCCAAAACATACGTTAGCAAGCGGATCAGCATAGTAAGAATGGAACACATGGTGATGAAGATCTAACATGTTTCAGAAGCGTTAGTTCAGATTAACTGCACTCTAGTCGCACTGTCAGAGTACCTATTGGATGGTGGACTGTTTTAGGTGTGCCCCAAGAGCTCATCATCTCCTGGGTTAACTTCTTCCAGGAAGAACCCAGTTCACACACCCCAAGGCTGCTCTGGGACAGGACCTAAAGCGTGTTAAATGGAGACAACTGGGAGGGTCTCTTCAAAAGAACATTCCCGATCAAACAAAAATGTAAATGTAGACACATTTAGTACAAACCCATAAAGATTCGCTAAAGAAAGATAAAGCATTTAAATGACAAGGCATTCATTTGTTACCATTAAACTTTAAAGTTTCTTTAGTCCCTTCCTCTCCACAACTCAGAATTCACGAGTTTGTCACGTGGCACTGCTCCCATTAACCCCTTCCCATTTTACAAACACAGAAGTTGAGACTGGCATTAATGACTTGCCCAAGGTCTCAATACCAATCATAAGAAAAACAGAACACAAAACCTTTCCAGCTTCCTCTTGTGGTTTTGTCACACCTTTTGTACTGATAGTCAAAAAAAATCAAAGGTTTTAGGACTGTATGTGTATTTTAGGTCACTGTTAGCAACATATCCCTACTAACAACTCATCCAGTAGGAAATTAAGTCAGATATAATATGAAAACATATCTCCTTGTTTTTCTTGCTGAATCTTTTCATTGTGATTTGGTTTAGCTAGACTTTCCAATTAGGATGACAACCACAGAACTCGTAAAAGTGTGCTTTATCTGTAAGTAAATCTTGAAACGTATACCAAAATGCCAGTGAACTGCACAAAAATATACTGGAAATTGTTCTTAAGTCAATCATCTATATTTTTCTGTAACCAGACAGCAACTTCAGATAGAAGTTCTCTGTTTTCTATATTTTCCAATTTTGCAAACTCCAGTAGTTCAGTGGTAGCCACCCTCTCATCCTCTTCCAGTGCAGTATTATAAAAAACCTGTAACTGAAGAGATAAATACATGAGGTTAGTTCGTGTAGTTTCACTTGGAGCAGAGTAAATAACTGTGCATCATCTGACAGATGTCTTCGACAGAAGTATGTAGAAAAGGGGGAATTTCAGGGAGCAAAGAGTAAACAGGGGCAAGCATCAAGATTACACTGAAGGTGGGATTCTGGTTTCCATGAATTCAACGGGAGTTCTACCACCATTTCACTGGGGCCAGAACGTTTTAATTCAGCAACATACCGGCCCACTCCAGGGTCAAAGGCTCCATTTTGAAAAATGACAGAAAGAGTCTGAAAGCCCAGCTTTTTCAAGGGGCAAGCAACCCGCATTTCCAAGAACTAAACCCTTAAAGGAACCTGCACATGATAAATGTGCCTTTTCGTCATCCCTCTGGAAATCCTTCCAAATACAGAGAGCTTCACTAGGACTAGCGGTACCACACAGTCTAGGATTAGTTGGGTATCAACATCCTCTTGTGCTGCCTCTTCTACAATCACAGAACAGTAAGTCTCTTCCAGCAATCTAACAAGTAGAAGACAAGAGAGGACGGAAGAACAGCAAAGAAATATACACTGCTGGGGGGGGGAAGAAGGGGAATGAAACAATGAGAGAAATGCGATAGATGTCAGCACGATAACTAGCTGCCCTAACATGCCAGCAGCCTAACTTTTGGCAAGCTTTCCGTTAGCATCATGGCAAAGGTGATCTCTATGGACAGATTTTAAAGACAAAAATGAGGCAGTTTTGCGGACATTTATTCAGGCTCCCAAGCCTGAAGATTAACTGAAAGGCTGGCATTGGGCTATTGCTTTTGCCATCATAGGGATTTGACTTCTCAATAAAGAACATGACATGAACAACTTGCAGTGCATGCGTGCTCAAGAGAGATTTGATTTTAGGAGCTAACTCTCTGAATTGCTGTCCTCATTAAGCATCCCTTCCCGGCTACTTGCTCTGTGCACGGCCAAAGAACGGCAACAACATTTGTTGTGCTATGACCGATCCCAGCAGCTCAGGGCTGACACAGACATGTGGATAAAACGGAGAGAGCACAAAAGCGGAACTGACGGAAAATAAGGTATACATTGGGAAATAATTTGTTGAGACTGGAGGGGAAAGAATAAGAGAATGAAACAAGCAGCGATGGTCATCCATTTGCCACAGCCACTAAGATAGGGATTACTGTGGGGAATCAGCTAAAGAAAGGCTACAGCCACCATTCACATATTTCCACCCTTTAGCATTTTTCTCAAAATACATCCTCTTTTTGCAGATGTACACCAGCCCAATTAGAAAGTACTGTTCACGGGCTCATCGGGGCTGCCACAAGTGATGCATCACACATGTGCACACCATCTGTTCAGCACCTGGGCAGGCAGTCTCATACGCTGCAACTACAAAGAGCAGGACGACGTTCATCCCTGCACAAAAGCTTACTTTCACACCATACTTAACAACTCGCTGCACGCACACATGACTGCAGAGCTGTGAGTTCCTGTTCATACGTTTGTTTCTCAGATGAGAAAGTGTAACTTTTCTCAGTGTCTCAACACAGCAATATTATACAATACATTCCCCGATTTCTCTAAGAAACAATACAATGGTATTTACAAACTGACAATAAAGCTGAAATTACTTCTATGTTATTAACTTACCTCTTGGATCTGTACATCTGTATTGACAAATCTTCCCATTATTTTTAATACCTCATGTAATAATTCCTTCCCATACCTGTACAAAATGAGACAAAAATCCTTCCATCAGCATGTTAGCAAATATGCTACTTTTCCTCTCCTTTGAAAATATTCCCAGTGTTTGTTTATTATTTATCATACTGGAAATACCTCCTAAACTGAAGTTCACAACTGGGTACTCATTTTCCCCTTTTAAAGAAATATCATTGAAGTTCAGTTTAGACATTTGAGCTGGATGAAGCACAATAATTACCCACCATTTTCATTTCTTTGTAAGACTTGGTATTTCTGCTTTGGTAACATGACTCATCTTCTTTGCCTAAAACGGGTAACCTCTGTCAGCCCATGCAGCTAAACATAGCTGGACAGGCTAATAAATAATGATTCTAACAACACGGTGTTTCTCTTTGTATTCTGAGGATAGCCTATAAAGCTAGCACCCAGACTATTCTTTTAATTTGAAAATAAGGAGTCTGTTTCCCTGTAAATTTCTCACGGGTATAAAGTGCAGAAAAGTTCCATGGGGAACAAGGTGGCATAGCACAAACCCGCGACAACTTGCCTTTGCTAGAATTAGCAATACAAATACACTTCAAATACACCACTGAACGCTCCCAAGTGGCTGGGTTTGGTTATGCTGCCACTAATGGCTCCTAAAGGACCCCTCTGCCCCCAAAGACAGTAGAAACATATGGTGTTACAGCCACGCTCCTTTTCACTACTGCCTAGGAGACAGAGGGAGTCTTGGAATAAGCATTAAAGATGCTTACTTTGCTCCAGCCAAACAGCCTGATGCAAGCTCACCTGCAGCAGTGCAGGTAGGATGGAGGTGGGCTAGGCCATAAGCCTGGGATTAATGCTATAGTTAGTCTTTGCAACCCTCATAACCCTGTGTGCTCCTATCCTATGTCTCATCATACTCTCTTTGGAAGAGAGGTTACAGTCTTACTCCCGATACATTTTACACCTTTGCTTAGGAAACGCTACTGGATAAACCCATTTCTAGAGCATAGGGGGACCCACTCAGTTCTGAGAGTTGCCAAGCAGTCCATTTTTCTGCTGCCTGCAGAATTGTCTAACTGACTGTACATCAAGAAATCTATCTTGTTATTATTTATTCAGGAGAAAGGATGAACTAGAAGGCTTCCCTACTTGCCTACAGAAAGCCTGCATTGCCTTGCACCATTTTATCGAAAGCCCAGGTAAACATGCAGTGGATACAAGTCAGTGTGATGACGGTTTCATCTGTGAAGTCTAATGCTAGACTTCCAGAGATGAGGCTGATCCTGGTCCATCACTATTCCTTCAGGTCTTGAACCTCTTACTGATTCTCCGGGCTCTAACCATCCATCATCACTCTGCCTTGTCCTCTTATGCGCTCCTGAAACCATCCCTCTATGGGGCCAGCCATCACTCCTACTCTTACAAACCACTAGGAGGCTGCATCTATTCCTGTTTTGAAAGTTTATTCTGTTCAGTGTGAAATACTGCCTGAACTGCAAGAAGCAGGGCACAATAGTTTGCACAGTAGCTAGTAACAAGAGGCCAATAATATCATGTTAGAGATAAGAGAATAATATCATGTTAGTCATACTTCCACCTATATCAAACCTACTGATTTCCCCTACCCGTTGTCACAAAGCACATCTTAAGGGTACTCTAAAAGACAGATTTTCAGCTTTCACCGTCTCACAATTGGGATTTTGAGGGAAGCTCTCCGTTTAGGTAGGTAAACATGCGTCAGATTTTCTAGAAAGGTTAATATCTACAAGAACTGAGACGGTCATGAACAGACTCTTTTTTTTTTTTTTTTTAAGCATTCTGTGTCTGATATGAGCTCCTTTTTGACATTAAGCCCCAATGAGAGCTGAATGCTGTGGTCTGGGCACTTACGGAATCACATGGGTCATTACAAAAAAGCCATATCTCGAAGGAAAACCTGACCCGGATTTCATAGCTCGAACCTAAAAATGGAGGAAGGAGCCAAAAAGACATAGAAATAAAAGGAACTCGAAGGTGGCTGTTCTCCATACCTTTCACTTAGAAGCGGCCAATTTTCTGTAACAAATTCCCAGGCTATACGCTGACCAATATCCTTAGTCACCACATATAAGATCATGTTTGAAGTACAATTGGAAGAAAATAATGTATCACTGAGTCCATATTGCAAATATCTGTCGGAAAAGAAGTAAAAAAATTTAACTATCACTTGCTGTTTAACCATGAAGATTTGGAAACATTTACCAGCTTGAGAAAATTCCTATCTCAACATTTACCAGAATCCAAAGTGTTATACCAAAGTTGGTTTCACTTCAAGCTGTCTATCCAGCTGTGTTTCCTGTTCACGTGGCTGAAATCCCCTGTTCGTGCACATCAGTTCTCCATTTCTCAGAGAAATGAGGACACAGCACATCAAGCGGATATATTTGCTTTTCTTACTCTTGTGTTAAAGAGGGATGAGGGACAATCTCTCACTCCCACTAGACAACCCTGTGGAAGGGCAAACTGCTCCTGAGTTTCTGGGGACTCACTCTGCTCAGATTCAGAGGGAGCCTACAGAGTGAACAGCAGTGAGGCACTCAGTTCTGCTGAGGAGACCTACTGCAGTGACATGGATCTGATGCACTTCCATGGAAGCTAAGGCATGATTTCAAAAGCATTTAAGTAACTACCTGCCACTGATGTTGATAGCAGTGGGAGTCTGAATATCCTGAAAAAGTAAATATGTAACCCTCCTCTTTGTTGCCTAAATACATAACTTTGCATGTCTCCTACTTTGAACTAGCACAGTTAGAGTCACCTTCTCATAGGCTTGTGTAGGCAGCTGCTTTTATGGATAGACTAGGTGAGCAGGGATTTCTCCCATTTGCACACCACCAACACGCTTAACTGAACTGACAAAACTACACTGAGGGCCAGGAAAAGCCCAGCTTAACACTCCTCATCCAAAGAGGACTTTAAGATGGCATACAGAAAAACAGATTGGCTTGCCAACTACTAAGGCACAGGGAGGAAGAGGTCACCACGACTCCCTGAATTGGCATCATCTTGCTTCCAGTATAACTCACCGCTGGTCAGGGACAAGTACTAGCCTGTGTTTAGTGACAAAATGTCCTAAATGACCAAAGGGGAGGCAAAAAAAAATCAGCATAGCTCTACTCGGACACGTCTTTCCACTCTATTTTGCCCTCTTCTCAAGCATATCAGTTCTGCCTTCACATGACCACCATCACAAGAGCAGAGGGCTGGCAGGCGAAATACATCTGCTACTTTCAGAGCTTCAGATCCATAGAGTTTATGCCAGTGGGAGGAGGATGGTTCTGTAGGGAGTCAATGGCAAAACTGTGTCCTCTGAGCTACTCTCTAGGGTAATGCAGATATGGCAGATTAGAGAATTCAGCTTCAGCATCTTTTTACTTATAAAGTGAAGATGTTTCATACGGAAGCCAGTGAAAGATAATAACTAAGGTATTCCACACTGCAATATTTAGAAAACAACTTTGCAGTATGAGACTGCACTTTCAATGGTGAATAGCTTACTGGTAAGCACATTTTCATTTTTGCCCTTAACCTAGGAAAAGGCGATTTGGCTTCCAGGCAAAGGCTAAATAGACAACGATACTTTTGCTTGGAAGTAAAGGAGAGAGGAGAGAAAGGATATGGGAAAATGACATAAAATCATAAATGGCAGGGAAAAATGTCAAGGCAAATTATGATTACTGTTTCTCACAGTGCAGAGAGTAAGGGCAGCCAATGGGATTAAGATTTAAAAAAGACAGGTAATAGGTTAAAAAAAAAAAAAGTATGTTTTCATACAACATGCATTTATACTACAGGATGCGTTGCCACAGTCTGCTACGAAGCCTGAAGTCCAGGTTCAAAAAGGGAATTAAACACATTGAGAGAAGACACATCCATTGTTAGTGTTAGACATAATACACTAGAAATATTTAACAGCTCAAGAAAGCCATGATTACCAGCGTCTGGGCAGAAGGCTCATTTATTATTGCCCTGTTTAATCACACTTTTTCTGCAATAAAATCCTTACAAATCTGCTACTGGTCTATTGGATACACAGTTCTGCAGCAGGCATACCTCTGTCCAGCTTAGTACAGTATTTGTGTTTTTATGATTTCACTTTTGTACGCATAAAAAGATCATTTGGTCCAGGTCACCTGTAAAGTAACCATGATTCTCTGGCACAGCTCAAGGCAGAGAGCAGGATGTCTTTATCTTCCTTTGTGGAATTGGTTTGGTTATACATTTCCCATGCAAAATTCCATTCTTTATCACTTCCCATGGCAACACCATAGCAACAGACCGGTTTTCTAATTAAAAAGGGAATACTGCAAAGCAAAATATGATTAAAAGGTACTCTAATGTTATAAAGTGAAAATACAAAATGTGATCAAAAGGTACTCTAATGTTATAAAGCAAAAATAAGCAGTTAATGCGTAACTGAAAATACACGTTTGTTTACAGTTAAAATACACAGAAAAAGAGAAATACACTTAAAATCTAAATAAAGCTATGAAATTTGATTGCTGTGCTTACGACTTAAACATTAACAAAACAGGGGTTTAAAGGTAAACCAAAAATCCTTTTTAAAACAGCTGGGTTAAAGCAGTTTGTGTACCTACAGTATTCAATACCACTCTTTCACAGCATGACCTAAGACATCAATCACGTGAACGTTGCTCTGTGGGTTTTACGTTGATCACGGTGCCTTCGGAAGTGATCTTTGCATAGGATTCAGTTTGATGTTGGCATGAACATCACTGAATCTGTGGGGGAAAGGCAACGCAGGGACTGAGATTTCCCACCCAAATGATAAAGAAATCGTCTGTATGTTTTCAGTTCAATGTTGGGCTGATGGTACAGTTAAAATCTTCTCAAGATGCTTCCTGAAAAGTTGCCTTGGCTAAAATATGGCTATTTTGATACCCACAGTTGTCCCAATAGTCTCAAGAAAATGTTGGTTATTGAACATAAAGTTGTTGTGGGTGAAGATGAAATGGATAAGGTCAGTGAACCTTTCGGACACAACTCTGAATGTTGAGCATGCAAGGCAGGCTGCAAGGGCAATGTTGTATGGGACACTGGTATACTGGTTGGTGACATCTACAGTGGCCTGGAAGTGGTTTGTGTTGTATAGTTCACACAGGAGGTCTGTTGTGACCCAGAGAAAATCTGGAGCTTGGGTTTTTGTTTTTAATGTTGGATTAGGGGTGGGACTTACTGATCTTCAAATTTTTTTCCAGGGATGGTCCTGTGGCTCAAGATCATTGGCCTGCCAGGATTCCCTTGCTTGTGGATCTTGGGTAACATGCAACAAACTTCTAGGAAGAATGCTGGATTACGTTACGTCTTTTTCCTGGAGTCAATACAGAGATGACATGATGATTTCTTAAGAGTAACGGCAGCATGGTAACCTTTCGAAAGTAACTAAAACGTACAGCAACTATCCCTTCCTCTAAGCTCATTTTCTTCTTTCAAAGGAGAAAAACCAATAACACTGCACCACAGGGAATACACTTATTTAGAAAGGTCTACCTCACTGCTCTGAGCAGAAAAGGAGTAATTCTGAGAGACTGGCTGGAAATCATGGCTCTCAGCTTATTCTTTACACAGAACAGATAAAAATGTACAATCTCAAGTCCAATTGATTAAGTTCTGTGAGGTCAGTGTTCGGAAAGATTCAGCTGAAGGCCGATCACCTTATTTGAAGGGGAAAACCATTATTCCCTTCAACAGATACGAGAATCCTACTGGGTATCATATCATGCATGGTGCTAGCCTGTGGCAGAACAACTATAATGTACCCTTATGAATTGTGGCCTCCGAACGGAGATTTAGATAGAGCATCTACAGGTATCTTTCTGTGAAAGGTGGGTCACAAAGTTATTGTGCCCTTGCCCTGTTCTAGCCAGTATATGAAAAGCCTCCTCTTTTCCTGAGCAAGGACACTGATCCATTATTTGAAACCTAAGAAGTTTCCTGCCTCCCATGATTTCTTCTCCTTGAAACATGATCATTTTTTCCACATCACAGCTAATATTTCACAGACTTTTCAACTCTCGAACTCAGATAAAGTATGTAAAATCCCAACAGGGAGAAAAAGTCACTTCAGATATTATTAATAGGGGAAAATGTGTGGCTATTCTGAAAACTGTCTCAGATTTTGGCATAGCATTGCTGCTTTTAGTGTGCGATAGCAATAATATTCTCTGTGGAATGCATCAGAGTGTTTAGCATATTTAAGCTTTTCAGTTTACCTTTAAAGTACTGTTTGTTTTTTATGCGGATGATCGCTACAGGGCTATTTTAAAAAAAGTACAAATATGAGCTCAGGTCACTTAGCCAACCACATACATCAACAAAAACATTTATAAAAATTATACAACTGTAACAAAGAAAACAAAAATAATGATAAAACTTTAAACATTCACTCACCAGTGCCAATACTACACGATAATTGCATAGAAAAATATCAAAAGAAAGAGGGAGAAAAGAGAATAAGAATTTCAATACATTGTAAGATTTTTTCCAACAATGCAATACTCTTAATACAGAAAGTCTGACTGTGGAAGGAGGGATCAGAGCCCAGATCTCTCTTCTCACAGACAAGAAACCTAACCACTGGGCTCCAATATCACCATGAGATCTGACAGCTTTCCCAGCTTCTGCCCATGCAAACACAGTACATGCAAAGTGATTTGACAGGTTCACCATGAGCAGATTTCCATACCCTAGAAAGACCATTTCACTCAGTACTACCTACAGAAGCTTAAAAACTGTGTGGGTATACATGAGGCCCCTCGAAGCTGGGGGCTTTACTGTAGAAAGGGATAGGGCAATATGGGATATCGGCCCTGATCTGAGCTTCACCCGTTCTGCAGCTAAACAGAATTTGGTCTTCATGACAACACTATGCATCCTCCAGACTGTGAGGTCTGCATGCAAGGCAATAAGCATGAACTCCACAGAAAACTGGAATTTGGGGAAAATGAGGGGCTTAGGGAATTCTTAGTCTTTTGGGTTTTTTTAAGCTTAAGTTCTGTCATTTTGTGGAGAAAGAAAAGCAGCGTACAGGAGCCATCCCGTTCTGCATACCCTGTGTAAGAGCCCGTTAACCTTTCACCTCACTTAACACACACACACTTCTAAAAGCACGTTATCATTCTTACTTGTACTCAGGGTTGTCCATCCACTTTGCATACAGTTCAGATGACAGATCCAAACAGTCCTGGAGACCCAGCCAGCATGCTGTTGCAAAAAGTTTTTCCAAATATACTCTTGAAGGAAAGCCAAAATAGCAAGAATAAAAGATATGTATTCTATATTTGGAGTACTCAGAGAAACGCTTAATCAGCGCAGTTTTAGCACATGATGCTGTTTACCCAGGAGAACCTCTACTAGAAATAATAGAGGTTTAATTAAAAAACAAAAAAATCCAACTAAGCTACCAACAACGGATTCATGACATCGATACTCACAGAGATTAGCAAAGCTACCAAGGGACTGTAATTTTTAATAGGTTTTGTGTGTTTTATACCACCCTTGCTCAGGTCTCATCATTCTGACATTCAAGCATCCAATGCTTGGTAGCCATGCAAAATAAACTATTTGCAAGCTCTAGTGGTGAATTTGTAAATCGCGTTTGAAATTCACTGCTGTCAGTTTTCCTCCCACTAGCAGCAGCCTGTTGCAATTGGTCACAGTAAACAAAAGCTACTATCTTCTACGCTCACTAAATTTACTAGAAATACCCCAAACAATCTACCTACTGAAATTTCCTGGGGAACCACCATTGTAAATAACACACATTTATAGGACAATAAAAGTAACAATTCAGTTAGATTCCAACAAATTAGAATATTTTTCCTGTATCTTGTATTTAAATGTACAAAGGCACACCAGAATGCATCAGATCAAACCATGCCAGATCAAACTTTTGAGGGAAAAAAAGTACTTACTGAGCAAAATAGTCATCTTCCAAAGTATCAACATTTTGCTGAATTAAACCTGCATAATAATGGTATATTGGCAACATTCTCTTTAAAAGGTATTTCTTTTAAAAGAAGGGAAAGAAAAGTTACTTTCATTCAGATCCATACATTCATTTTGCTGAGTTTTTCTTCACTTATTCAGATTTATCCTAAAAATTTACCACTATAAATTTCTTGGTAATATACCACATTAAAATAAAGCATACAAATTGGGACTAAAAAAAAAACCAAAACAATACATTTTTACATCCATTCAAACTGAGGAGCTCCCATTTCACCTTGCTTTGATAGGTGAAAAAAACTTTGGAACTCGTTATGAAAGAAAATACATGCTCACTCTCAAAGAACAAGAGAGAAAAATGTTTTTAAATAGAAAAACACTTAGTTCTTTTCACAAGTTAAAAACATATCTTTACTTGTATAACTTACAGAATGATTGTAACAAGATTGCACTTTTTAAAATAAAAGTGGAGACAAATAGATGTCAAGGAAGTAAATAACGAAATGTTATCTCATCTCAAGTAGCCCAAAAATGGGAAAAAAATCACCTCATTTAGTATGTAGGCCATTAAAGCATGACAGGTTAAACTCAATTCTTTCTTCCTCTCCACAAAGATGAACTGGAAGGCAATACATGCCACAGATCACACATGTACTATATCCCCTTTATACCTATCAGTGTTGTGCCCACTACTTACTACTGATAGCTGTATTTTCCAGATCTTCATTTTACCAAAACCTAAGAACAAGCTTAACATTAACCATGTGAATATATTTCTGCAGTAAGAAGCAGCTCCTGATTTAATGATAGTTATCACTGACTAATTCATACAAACAAATACTGCCAATTAAAAAAAAAAAAGTCGGCAAAATCATCTAACAAAAATTATAAGAATTATGACCCATCATAGTCATCATTACATTCCTGAGAATCTTATGAAGAGTTCATTTTGATCTTTTTTATTTAAATGGTCTAGAATCTTCATTAATTAACAAAAAAGGTGATACCTTTAAAAGTGGATATACTTCATAATTTTTCAGAGTACTTTCCAAATTCTCTGGTACTAGATTTAATAATACCACATTCCATATAAAGATTTCATCTTCTCTGGCAAGATACTTCGTTAGTTCAAGCGCTGATTCAATCTGAATATATCCAAAACTATGTGAAGGAAAAAAAAAAACCCTCATATTTGAGCACTCTTACTCACACTAACACATACTACGAATATCTGTTTGTTTACAGAACTGATAGTAAAACATGAGGACACTGGGTGGAGAATAATTTAGCAAGGATACCGGAAAATTAGAATATAAAACAATGGTGCCTCAACAATGGAGCTGAACTGTCCGAACATTTATTACAGAGCACAAAATGCTTAACCAAAGCAATGGGACACTCCTGGCAGTAATCCTGGCAGTAAGCAGACTGTATTCTGGTTATGGTTTTAGGATTAGATCCAAGCACATTTATAGCATGCATCAGCCTCACTAGGACAAAATGAGGGAACAAAGCACTGTTTTGAGTTACAGTATATGTCTGCCCTTATTGATGAGCAACAGATTTTCATTATAGGTTACTTTACAAAATAAATATAATTGTAAAAACATACAACTTAATTCATATGCACAGTACTCTTAGATGTAAGAATTGTGGTATGGCATTTCTGTGCTTCAGTATGATAATTACATGGAATTCATTCCTGCCCCAAAAAAGCCAGTCAAGCCCCCTTCTCCCAGAACAGAAATACTTCTAGTATACTTGCGTCAGAGCACAGTTACCCTAATGAGTTACATTCCTTATTATATGGCAAGTCTGAGCTCTCTTATGAGAAAGGATGTTTGCATGAAAGGGAACCTTTGACTCCCTCCTCAGAGCTCCCTGCCCAGGCTTCGAAGGGATGTGGTATGCTTTAGCCACCTCCTCCTGGAGTTCCCATATCGCTGGTCCCTGAGGCTTTTAGGATCTCTATTACGTTTTAGAGGCACAGGCACATTTTGGGGGTCTTTGGTTCTCTTCGGCACTGCTGAGCACTCCAGTACCACAGTTCTGCAGCCTCTAAGCATGAACCTCCTCTATGAACTGCTCAGATTTCAGAAAATTAACATAAAATTAGCTTATCTTAATGTAGTGATTTTCTACGGAACTGCAACATATGCAGTGCAAGCGTTCTGTGACCTTTTTCTGCCAAGAGATGAACGACTGAGTGATCTATCAACAAGAGAAATGAAGGAGGTATTAAGAATGATGCACAACTGCATCAAAGAAATTCAGAAAAGAAAAAGTAATTATGATCATTGAGAATTTTTTTTCTGCTACAACAAATCTAGGATAGTCCCTGGAAAACTCATGACAATGCCATTATATGTAATACTTTCTGAGAGATGGACAAAAGCTAGAAGAAATTTTGAAAGAAACCATTCAGCACTGAAAAAAGATTGGATTAAATATTTACTCCCCCATCATTTTGGGGAAACATCTGCTGTCTTTATAAGGCATGTATGGGTAGGAATGTAAGAACCAGAAACAGGAATGTTGATTGCAATTTTAATAATTTTAATAATTTTTTTTTATGACATATCCAAAACATACTTACTGCATCAATGCAAAAGCATCATCTATCAGCTGGAGCCTGCTAACAGCGGGAATAGCCTGCAGAAAGCATTCATTTGGTGTTAATAGATCTAAACACAACACTGAGATTAAAAATAAGCTTTACTACGTTTCAAAAATTATGAGACGAGATCCTAACATCTTTTCTAAGCCAAAATCTTCTACAAAACACGACAAAATGGGATCCTGCCTCTTAAGCTGAAATTGTTACTGTGCTTTTAAGAGCTTTTATATACATAAATAAACAACTATATATCACTAAATGCTAAACTTCAAGACCTTTCTTACTTGCATGCTGGAATGAACATTAAAATAAGGAAACTACAGTACCTAACAAATATCCTGGTTGTAAAGTTTTGGCACAGGCTTTTTTTTTTTTCCTTTTGAGGCTTCAGCACAGAGTACATGCTCAGGTTAGCCCAAAGCAGAATCTGACACTATTACGGATTAAACGAGTGAGGAAGAACTTTAGTTACTGAGAACCAGCGCTCTCACAAGGACTGCTGGTCCCTTATCTCTTCCCTGCTTCTGTGCTACTAAGGCTTGGCCACTGCTCTGGTCAGCCCTCCTGCTGACCAGTGCCCAAGCACTGCCCCATGACAGCACATGCCTAAGTTTGTGAGGACTTAAGTTGCTGTGAAAGAAAAGCTTAGAAAAAAGGAAGCCAATGTGCTGTAGAAAGGCTTTAATCAGAACTATGTGCTCTGACTGGCAAAGTGTTCAAACCTTCCAGAGAAGTAATCTTGACTCCCTTGATCTATTACTACACGCGCCCCAGACTTCGGAAGTTTAAACCTTCTGATCTTTGGTATCCAATCCAATAAACTGACATTACCACCTAAGCCATACTCTAGGTTTAGGCAACACTAAATATTATACAGCCTCATATGAGGTCACATACGTAGCCTAGTCCATATTTCTTTCATCTGCAGTCCAAGCTATGGTAAGTTAGAGGTTGCATGAATAGCCCATTGAATCAGCAAGCTATTTCAATTCCATCAAATGAGACCTCTTTTGCTTAGTTCTAACCACAGATCAAGCTAGTCACATATCCATACTGATAACTCTGAGTCAAATTGAAGAGATCAGAAGAACCATGAACTGTTAAGACAACTTTGAAGACAGGAGGTCATTTAATGTAAATTATTTTTCAGCCTACTGTTTATGTGAAATTATTTGGGCCTGTTCCTATTCCCTTGTGGAATGCTGCCAGTGATGTTAGAGGTGCAGTTGTGGGTTACTTGTTCATATGTGATATATAAGCTTTTCACGGTTCCAGTTTTTCCAGAGTGATTACTGGTAAAAACTGCAAGAAGAAATACAAGGAAAGAAGTTTGCTTATAAGCTTGAAAAAACAATTATGATCTTACCTTTGGATCGTTTTCAAGCAAGCGTGCTAATCTTTTTAAGTTTAATTGATCATAATTAACTCTATAGTATCCAGATAAATTTACGTTTAGCAGGATCCAGTCATATTCTGATTCTGATACTCGCATTTCAGGAAACGTTTCTGTAAAGTGACATTAAAGTGTATCATTTTGTTTTCTGTGCACTCCTAAACTCTCTTGCATTTATAAACAGTGGGCTCAGTGCTCCTCAGAGATCTAAGAGGCAAGCTGGAAGCTACACACAAAGAGAATCCCCCCCAGAAGCCAGACGTACTTGAGCTCTCCAACTTCTGCATAGTGGAAGAACTTCAACAAGCAACTGACCTCCCCAGGACACCCTGAAGATGGTAAAGGGGAGGATGAAGACCCAACTTGTTCTACTCAAAGCAGCTGGCTAGCAGGCAGCTGGGAGAGCTGAGAAAGGTTATCTGAGAATAAAAAGACTGGATAAGGAGCAATACCACTGCGCACTTGCTGCTTCGTGTTACTCCAAAAACACAACTCTACCTCACACAAGAACAGTCCTCCTATCAGGAGCCACGCATTCCTAGTAGAGATCGAGGGAAGCAGAACAGTTAAGCTGATAAAACAGGGACAATCAAAAAACTTAGCTGTAAATAGAAGTCCTGTAGTCCTTGTGAGTCATATCACGCACTAAAGGCCTCTGTCTGCAGTCCTATTTCACCTAGCTATTACTCAGACTATGTTTCCGATTACCTGCTCCCGCTAGCCAAAGGTTCAACTCAAGGAGCCAATGGAGCTTTGAAGGCTCTAAGCTGTCTCCTCACAAGAGGATTTGAATGCTGCTTTAACTGGGTTTTATCAGCATGATTTAAGAAGAACTCTAACACACACACAAAAAAAAAATTTGTTTGATGTACATAATCTAGACGCAGCGCTGCTCCACCAAACAGGAGAGTGGGACTTGAGTGTGTTTTGACTGAGCAAGTACTATGGAACTCAGCCTTAATCATTTTCACAGACTAAATAAAACGAAAAAGAAAGGCGATCCATGGCAGATATGAGCTTAACAGTTTAAATCGTCTGTGGGTGGCTAGATGTACTAGCCCCGTGGGTGCCCCTAGAAGTACTTTCCATATAATGGCATATGGGTGCAATGTTCTGCTAATCATCAAGAGCACCTGCAGCTAAAATAGCAAAACCATGCTCGGAGAGATGCAATCTATTCCTCATCTCCATCCGTCACGCTGAGTGAAACGTGCTCTACCATAACAGCACAGTTTTCCTAGCATTCCGCTTTTGCTGCACAGACATCTATCACTCAGGGACCAAGTCTCTTCCTGTCAGTGATCAATCCAAATATACAGGCAGAAGCTAAGTACTCAGATATTGCCTGACAAACCTTAAGCCAATAGGACGCACTCTTAACGTGGTACAAGTGCAGCTTTAAATAGATTGGCTTGGCTACCAGTAGCAGCCTAGCTTGGAGTTTAATTGACCTTGTTCAGAAGCAAGATAAATTAGCTCTTGCAGAGTTCTGCAACAAAAATATACACGGCCTAAATCACAGAATGGCCAAGGTTGGAAGAGACCTCTGGAGATCCTCTAGTCCAAACCCTCTGCTCAAGCAGGGTCACCTAGAGCATGTTGCCCAGGATTACGTCCGGATGGCTTCTGAATACCTCCAGAGAAGGAGACTCCACAACCTCCCTGGGCAACCTGTTCCAGTGCTCACTCACCCTCACAGTAAAAAGTTTTTCCTCATATTCAGATAGAGCTTCCTGTGTTTCAGCTTGTGCCTGCTGCCCTATCGCTGGGCATCACTGAGAAGAGTCTGGCCCCGTCCTCTTGACACCCTCCTTTCAGATACTTATACACATTAATCAGATCCCCCCCGAGCCTTCTCTTCCCCAGGCTGAACAGGCCCACCAGCTCCCTCAGCCTCTCCTCATATGAGGGATGCTCCAGTCCCTTAATCAACTTAGTAGCCCTTCGCAAGACTCGCTCCAGTAGCTCCATGTCTCACTTTTGAGATCTTTTCTCTTTACGTATTGTTATGCCACTGCAGCAACTATTCAACAAAACTGTGCTTCTTACCAAACATCTCATTTTCATTTCCCAAAACTATTCTCATGAACACCTTTGAACACCTTTAAATGACAACATTAATAGAAGTTCTCAACCAGAAGCCATTTCAATTTTACAGGAGCAAATGATAATTTAATTTAAAAATATCCTCAACATTTATGGTCTTTTAGGAGACAGTTTGGTTTATTTCTGTATCAAAAAGTAAAAAAGAAAATTATTATTATTTTTAAGATCTTTAAAGTTGAATATAAGTTCCTTGACTGAAGTCTACAGTTCTCATATACAAGCGGAATGTGTTTTAATGACTGAATTTCTACTTTACGGTAGTTGCTTCAGACAGATGCAACATGATGATTTTTTCCATACGTTCTCCTCTAGCTCTTAAAGCATGTGATGGCTGAGGAAATGGAATTGTTATCATCTCAGTAAGACAGGCTTAGCACACAGCACTATCTCACGGCATCTCCTTCCAAGCAAGCACTGTTTAACACTTCTTTCCTGCACGTTTTCTAATTCTTCACCTTATCAATCACTGGTTTACTTCATTTTAAATCCAAAGCACTCAAAGCAATAAACATCCACTGATTGCTTATTTACTTGTCCACATACTGTGAAATAACCTCTCCACCCATCCTCTTGCCTCAAAAATAGCCAAAGTAACTTTTAATCACTGCTAACAGAGGGCAGAGAGCTGGAATACACACACAACATACTGTAGTTTTGCTCTTAAGCATTCCATAAACACATTAGTCTCTGCATCTTGTAACTGATTCAGAGTTTGACAGAGTTCAGGGCTGACCTGCCAAAGAAAAATAATTACCCAGTCCTAACGATTACATTCTTCTCTCTCAAAAAAAAATATAGTTGCTTATTGGAAAGCACTGAGATGAGAAAGAAATGAATCATTTTATTTGACTGGATATGTCCATAAACTCACTTTTTTATTATATGCCTTTAAAACTTTTTAAAATTCTACTCTTCTGAGAAGACTGCATAACCAAATTAAATTACATAGTGTTGAAAGTAGGCATTTTTTGTTTTTACAGATATCTATATGTGACAATGTTGGGTCATTTCATACAGCCGTTTTCAATCTTTTCCAGTCTTCATATCTATTACTTGAGCTTGATCGTTTTCTGATGCATCACGGCCAAATTCTGAGGTTCTATATACATTCAAAAACTGTCACTAATGTCAGTGGAACCCACTGGAGTAAGAATAATACAGAAATGTGAGGAGTTTGGACTTGTGTGCAGAACGACAAATCAAAATCACTGCGGAAATCTCTACTCGGAACGTGCATTCTAAACTATTATTAAAAACCTACCCTAAAGCTTGATTGCAACTTAGACAAAAACAACACAATAACTTATTTTAAAATCTATTGATATTGCAATACAAAACATAACAGGTAAGTGTAGACTTTGCCATACTAAGGCTTTACCTCTCTAATTCAATTCAAATATATCTTCTGTTTATAGAAGTGTTTAGGCATGTTGTTGTTATCGGCTTGTTTTTAACACATGTGAACTAATTCATCACTTACTGCTGCTTTTATCGAGCCACATTAAGGGTTGCGATGATCCATTTCTCATCCAAGAGATAGGAACAATCCATGTGTTACTTTGGAGGGAGAAAAAAAAGGTAATTAATGCTTATGCTTAAAAAACAAGCTCTCAACTGATGCTAAATTAGACTGCAATAAGTTCTTATAACAATCTCCATCTACCCTCCCTCTCTGATGCACAAAACCTCATCAGATGGTGGCGCTTCCACCAGACCAGTCCTTAGGTTCATTGAACATGGGGAAAGTTTTGGCATGGATTTCAAAAGGCTCTCATATTCAGATTATTGCTCTGTATTAGATCTTTGAATATTACTGCATCTCTGTAGTCTGCTTTCCTTCTCCAGACAATAATTTTATTCTCCTCACTTATTGCACTACATCCTATTTCTGGAGACAGTAAAGCTCCTTTTCAGAACTGTCTCTACTAAAAAAGGTCCCAGGTAGGCGATACAATCTTAATTTCGACAACTTTAATTTCGTTTGTGAGAGAATGTAAATCTCCCAGAGAAACACAGGAAAGCTATGAAACCTACAAGTTCACAGAAATGAAAAATTCAGTAACGCATGTCCTGGATTTGCTTAAATTCCCACGGTATTGCCTCTTGCCGGAGCTACAGTAAAGGACTTAACATTTGTGACTTGGAATTCCTTATCTGAGCTAACCAAATAGGTGGAACGGACTAATTCTCTTTACTTCCTCAAGGTTGGAAGCAAAGGAAACTCTGTGGTTCTCATCAAATCTCTCTTGCGGTCGTGCATGCTACCAGCAATTGCAGCCAGGGAAAAGCTGTTCTGGACTATGCTCTGCTTTGTAGTTCTTGCCTTGCTGAGAACTCATCTCATGGGCTCTCCCCACGCATCCTCCCACTCCGGAGGATCACTAAATTTCCTGATACCTCAAATTCCGGCCATGAGTTTCCAAAGTGGGTGACCAAAGGTAGCCTCTTTTATCACCCTTTTTAGGCACCTAAATACGCAGCGTGGCTTTCAAAACAGCCAGACATTCAGCAGTGTTCATTGACAGTCAGGAACTTTAGAGCTGCATGTCAGCTACTCATTACTTTTGAAAAAATGGGCCACTTATTTAACTGCTTCAGTGCAACCCCATTGTCTTTGCCGAGGAGAAGAAACTGGGAACGTGTGCTGGAAGAAAACTACAACATGGTTCTGCCAGGTCAGTCTGGACAACTGAGGGATGAAGCAAATGCCAGGCAAAACTCCTGCCCTGCAGCTTACTAAGGGCCTGTGTCTGTCCTTACTAAGCCATCATGTGGCTGGAAAAGTCACTACTCCAGAGAAAAGCAACCCTTTGACAAAACAAGCAGCTTGCAAATTCCAAGCCTGCAATGAATTTTTTTTACTTGGCAGTTTATGACCAGGTGGGGAGAAGGGAGACATTACACAGATCGCCAAAAAATAATGTCCTAACTGAAGATTTTCATGCAGAAAATAGAGTATATAAATATACTATAAAAATACAAGCTAAACATACTTGTAAGAATCAGTACTGTTTTCATTCTTTCTATTAAGAAATTGTTCCTGACTGATGGTGCCAGTGGAGAGATTTAATGTTAAAACTGGAAACCCATTTTGGCATGTCCAGGAATCCATTATTTTTTTTACAGATGCTGGCAACTGAACTTCATCCTGTGCATCTACAACCTTCAAGAGAAACAGGAATTAGAAATGTTTATGATAAACAGGCTCTTACTGATATTGCTTCAGAAACGTTGCAGGGGTTGTTCTAACCTAACTTTGGAGTTTGCTGGTCTTTGGTTCATGCACAAAATCAAAGTGAAAAGGCCATTATTGACACCATTATAGAGACAGCATAACCCCTTATGGGAATGGAGACATTTCTCGTTCTTGTATCTTCACTACTAACCCTTCTCTGTTTTGTTTAATATACCTGCACCCTGGTATGGCTGACGACAGACTATTTATTTCACTCACATAAACCTGCTCGAATACAGAGATTTAAAGCAACAGCCTAATGAACAAATTCAATAGTAGCAACATATGTAAAGAAATACTAAGCTACAGTCCCAACTAGTGTGAATTAGCATGGTCTCTGGTGGCTTGAAAGATGCCAGAGCCTTGCACATCCAAAACTGTGGCTCAATCTGAGAGCTTGCAGCACAATGGAAGCCTTCTTTAGAGGAACAGAGAGGTAGAATTTTTTATAACAAACTCATTATTAATACCCGTTTTCTTATTCAGTTTCCTGCCAAAACCAGTAAAGGGTGAAATGCTGAGCTACTGCTACAGGTATAGACTTTGCTGAATTTGTGACACAGCAGCATCTTTGATCATCAAACCGTGAGTGTCCCACACTTTGCTCTGGCAAAACTTACTCTCCAAAAAAAATAGGCTCTGCAATTTCATGCAGTCTGAGGCAATCTATGAAAAATAAAACTCTACCCTGTTCCTGATTTTCCACTTCCTCTCCCTCTACTCCTTGTACTTAGTTCCACCTATCTCAAGTGCAGTTAAGTAGTCAAACAAATATTTGTAAAGATCTTCGCCAAAAGGGCCATCAAAGCAAATTGTACGTAAGGGAAAGACTGAACCAGGGACTGCCAAATCCCAATTCAGTCTGCTACAAAGGGTATATGCCCCAAAACTTGGCCTATGCCAAACACCAGAGCAGTAACAGTAGAGATCAAATGAATACCATTTGTATGTGGGTCCACAGATCATCTTGGTTAGCATTTGAAAAGGAAAGTGTTTTCAGGTAAGACTGCAAAGAAAAAGAAGAATTCATGCAGATTCAATGAAAAACATCAGCAAGGCAGAAACTAATTTGCACAACTGTTATTTTCAAGCTAATAAATTAAGATGAAGACATTAATTTTTCAAACTTACATTGAGTGCTCTGATAAATAGTTTCTCAGTCAGAAATCTAGAAAGCATCCAGGTAATGGAAGCCCCCTGAGGCACAAAAAGAGCTACGTGAGCATATGAATTATTATTGCAGTTATTATTGCAATATTTTTTCAAAATGTATTTCAGAGATATAAATCTGGCTATTCCTACACTTCATATTTATGGAGGTAAAAAATGTATTCATTGTTTCTTTTGTAGCCAAAGAGATTTGCAACTTTCAATGTATCTATGTGAGCAGCAGAAACAAATCTTGAACAAAAAAAATATATACACAACAAACACTGTAACATAAGAAGATATTCCACCGCTCCGCTCAAGCCTACTTTGCATCACATTAGCTTAGAATATAAAAGAAAAGGGAATAATTTTATTTCTTCACCTTGTTATACGTGATGCTGTTAAACAGAGACATTAATGAAAATGATTCTTTGATCTTGTCTTCACTCTCCGACAGCGATCTAACTTCTATTTCATTGTCCTCCCTTAAGATGGGCAGTAGAACATGATCATAAAAGATTTTATCCTGAAAGTGGAAGACAAAAAAATCTAAGTGCATTGTGAACTGAAAAGAAAATATTTTCAGGCAGAGAATCTGGCTTATGGAATTACTACTAATAGAAATAGCCCAACAATAAATAAGCACCAGTCCTTTTCTCCTCTCCCTAATTTTCACAAAAAAATAAAAGGGACCTTGCACCCAAACACAACATTTTCCAGATGCAACATTACTACTTAGGGCAGTGCAAGTTGTACATCTGAGAAGACTGTGGGCTTGTGTCTGCCAAAGGTGGTTACACTGCAATCCTCAAGGAAAAAGTCAGCTGTATTTTAGTAAATCACAAAAAATAACTGAAAACTGAAAATTTATATCTGGTTTACATCTATTCTCTTTAATCTGTCAGCATCTTCCACCTAGGCTCCGTATTGCTCCTGCCGCAATCCTGAAAAACAATCTGCAGACTATACTACTGAGTACACTAAGGGTTAACAGTTGCACTATGCAGCATTCCTGATGCCGCCAAGTAATAAACAGGGAGGAAAAACTGCTTCTTTGGTATAAATTAATAAAGTTCTCTTTTTGGTAAATGATGCTACAGTTTCCACCAGATGAGTATCTGTCCTAAAACTGGAAGACAAATGACATAACCAGGTAGGTAAAGAAAGAACTTAAATTTTTAAAACATTACAGGCCCGTCTGAGCACTTGTTAAAGGGAAGAACACAGCTTTTAATAAATAGGATCAAATCTGTTTGCCGATTTTTCCTCTTTTTGTAAAAAGCCAGTAAATTTCAGAGCAGGTTTTGTAATTTTCCAGGTTCACTTTGTAATTATGTGTGGCCCACAAACCTGCACAAGAAAACCCTGTGTCCTTGCACCTGTGCAATTTATTCTGGATTTCCAAGGCAAATCACATTCCACTTATCAAATGGAATTAGTACTCTGCATTTATTTGAGTAAAGTAAATTTGAAACAGTAACTGTTTTAGAAGCTTGCTCTTGAAAAAATCTAATATCAAAATTAAAAAGGAGACAAATACTTATTTCCAGTTTAAAACCTGGTAGCCTTTATACTTTGCAATGCTATTACAATGCTGCTTCACAGAGAATAAAGCGATCTGTTGTTGAAGTCCAAAGAAAGAGGTTAGCATATCTCATGACCTAAAAATCCTCCTGACAGAATTTGTTGGACATGCCTGTATTAGTTTCCAATTAAGCATGCTTACTTAAGTACTTTGGTGAATTAGAGAAGGAAAGCGACGAATAGTCTTTCATCTGAGTCAGATAAAAAACAGATTGGATTGATCACTAACTTAGAAACCAGGAGATGGTTTGCAGTTTTTCTGTTCTTGCTTCCAGACTATCATAGATTACATTTTAAAAACAACAGCAGTTTTGGGGTTTAGTACAGTTGATTAAACTTTTGAGAGCAATAAACAGAAATCAAGAATATAAACCCATTGTGAGAACATGGAAACGTGAGCACAGTAACCTGATCTGTCTGTGGACTTATCACACAAGAACTATCTTCTTGTGAAAAGGCAACACACTCTATGTATAGTAAATGTAGTTCCTCCCACTATGTTAAGCCTCTAAAATATTTTCAAAGACTAAACCATAGCTGTTTTATTTGGTTCCTATATGGCACAGTTTAAAAAAATCCTACACTGAAGAATTCTTTTATCCAGCTGTGCTTTCATTGATCAGTACATTTTGTTTTTTAATATCAAAAAGTTCTTTCTGTAAGTTTACTTGCATTTTGATTGAAAAATGTATTGATAGTCTTGTAACGGTGATAACATCAGAGCAAAGACCCAAGTACACATTACTCAGCTCCCAGTCACTGGGCTACGTACAGATCTCTGTTAAACCAGAAGGATTTATAGCAACGTCAGTTGGATTGTATAGGTTTGACAAAGAAGAATGTCAGCTTTTATAGTACAACTATACTACAAGGTGGGAAAGTTAAGAAGCGGGCACATCTCTGGAGCCCAGTCAGCCAGCTATTTACTGCAAAGGATCTGTGAGGATGAAAGTCACTTTCCTTTGCGGCTGCCTTTGACCACAGGTGATGACCTGAGTCCGATCAAGTCTTTAAAGACTAAATGGTGTCTTTCTGGTTATCAAAGACATCAGCAGACCAAGGACTGTTCTGTATGTCCTAACTTCCCCTGCTAACAGTTCCTGCTGGTTGGCACTAGCCTTTCAGAAGTACCTAACCAATAGAAAATACGAGGTTCTGACACACCCAAGTAGGACCTCTCACTTGCTGAATCTAGGCATAACAGCCGAGAATAAAGGCTCCTTTAACAAAAAACAATATGAAGCTTTCCAGAAACATACATAAACCTTTCATATCCAGCTTATCAGATGTGGAACCTTTACTGCATGTAGGGAATTTTTTTTTGTATTGTATTCAAAAGTTAAGCAACCATAATCCAAGCAGCATGCAGAATTCTCTCACCCAATACTGAAAGGAGAAATAGATAGTTGTCTACAATTGATAAGCTTCACTGTGCTGTGTCATGCTGAATGAGACACGCTGTCATATTCTGTCAAATTTCCTAACCTTACATGATGAAACATGGATAACAGAAACATCAGGAATGAGTTTAACAAGCTGAAAAGAGATTAAAAAAAAAATCAGAAAACTATACTCACCTGATCCATTTAATTTCACAAGTCATAATTTCCAAATTACAGAAATAATGCATTCATCAAAATGCTCTGTTTGACTGACAGACACTGATCAACCAGTATGTGCACATGTATACATTTTATTGAGATTATATAAACCACACAGTGTAAAATATACACCACGCATACCATACGGTGTGGGGATGTCTGTGAGCATATATTTCAACAAATGTAATGGTACAGGATTAGGACCACACTACACTTGCTGGACTACAGACTACAGCCCTTGTAGTCTCAAACCAGCCCAGACTAGAGCAAGAGGTCTCTCTTTACAGGCTTCTCTTTTCCTCAGCAGCCGAGGGCACTGTGCATAGACATTTTTGAGCATACCGGCAAGCGCACCTCTGTTACAACGTTGGCCCTGCACTACCTTACAAACCAGCTCCTCCAGCCTAACTCTCCTCTCATGGCCATGGTTAGCAGCACCCCATCCTCCTGCCTCACAGATTAATGATAGATGGAGTTCTCCAATCTACTGTGAGTCCTGTGCTTACTCCCATTTGTGAGGAACAGGAGTTTTTACCCTACTGTTGGATTAGCTGGGGCAAGTTCTGTTTTATTTGCAACTAAGCAACCATGGACCCAATAGGGTAAACAGACTCAAAGTGTCCAAACTTAGCCACGTCCAGTGAAGGTACCTGAGATACAGGTTGTCCAGTTCTCTCATAAACACGGCTTGGAAACAGGGGGAGGGAAACTACCTGCTACAAAATCCAGGAGAGAATACATACATACATAAATAGAAGAGGGGTTTGGCAAAGGACAGATCTAGAGTGAAATGACTACCCCAGTTCCTTAGCAACCTGTCACTGCAGAATCACAGCTGTTCAGCCATCCTCTTACAGTTGGTACAGCCCCAGCAGACAGAAAACCTTCGGGGAAGGATGAAGAGCTGCCAATAGGTCCTAGGGGAGTTAAGTTACTAATGGTGTGGCTTAATTAAATCCCATCTCTTGCATTTTCCTTTTCTTCCTATGTACTAGAACAATTCAACTTTAGTACTTACCAGTGAAAGCTTAGGTTCAACAAAGGTAGCTCCCAGGTATTCAAAGAAAGAAGCTAGTCCTTCATTAAGCCACAGGTCATTCCACCAGTTCATAGTAACCAGATTTCCAAACCACTTAAATAGAAAGAAAAAGTGTCTCAACATCTCTTTGAGCTGCTGCTTTTATTCTTGTAAGTTATATAGAAAAATCTATGCCCAAGAGACTTTATTTAATGCACACGTGTAACTGGATAAAATGCTGCACGTGTTCCTTCAGTTAGGGAAAATTCAGTAGGACAAAGATGCATCTTGGAAAGAGTCAAAGGTTCAGGTCAGGTTTTTTTAATTGCTTCATCTAAAACTTCATACCACGAGCACATCAGTGATTTGTATCAATCTTTTATTCTATTTAATTTTAAATATTTCCCAATAAAATGTGTAGAACTAGAAAATCAAATCAGGCTATAATTAAAAACATAGCATTTATCAAACCATTTCTAAAACATTTTTTCAAAGAGCCACTCTTAAATGAAAAAATAATTTTTGTTTTTTTCTTGTTCTTAAGGAAAGAAAATTGTCAAGTGGATGATAAACAGAACTGGGGAAAATAACCACTTCCAAAATCAGCAAATCCATATCTGGATGAGCAATACAACTTCCACAACAGCTGCTACATACTCACATCTGGCAGTCAATATTTAACAGAACACCGATCATTTGAGGATTTGTGTTTTATTTGTTAATTCTTAAAATCTTGGCCTATAATTAAACTTTATTTTAAAACACAGTTATGTAATGACATGTATTTTATTTTCCTACGGGTAAAAAACACTCTGCTCATCTCAAGGTCTCAAAAGTCAGACCTTGTCAAGAGGGCACATATGTGCACTAGCCAAGTTAAACTCTTTTGCTAACTTTGTTGACTAATTACTTTCTTCTGGCAAACAACAATAAATTAAACATAGTCAATAAAAAAGTAAAACTGCATTCTCGTTCCTAACCAAATAAAAAAGATTTTCAAAATCTCTGTGAAAATCAGACAAAGTTCCAGCTACACTGTAAAATGTTTTTATCTTGCATTTTTTCTGTAATACCATAGACTGTTTCTTATGGAAAAAACAAATACCTTTGTGCAATATATATGTGCGCTCCCACTAATGAAGTCCATTCATTCTCCCATTGACGTACTAAGTATAGTGCATACAGAGAATATCATATAATTCCTCCATCTCTATATTTTCTTTTCTAGTATGGTTTTTGGCTACTATGTAAGAAAAAAATAGGTGGTTCATTAACAGTTTTATACATATTGGTGAGCCCTATGCAGTCAATATGCCGTTTGCAAATCGAAAGAAATTGCTTTCAATGTTGATTTATCAACTGAATGTACAAGTCTTTCAACCTCATGGTGCTCCATGGATACGGATTTTGCTAATGTTTTAATAGTTCTTTCTCTATTTGCCACCAATTTTTTCACACCCCCTATTCAACAACTTTGTATCTTTAGCAAATGGAAGGAAACAACTTCATAGACAAACAAGGGTACAGAATTGTTTACCACATGCCTGGTGTCCTATCTCATGTGATGTAGTTATGGCAATCAAAGTCTTTCTGCCTGTGAATTTATCACGTGGGAGGTACATCAATGAAGATTCTTGGAAAATCATTAGCCCCCAGTTTTCCATAGCATCAGCTCCAAAATGAGGTAGTGCAACCAGATCTAAATTGATTCAAAGAGTTAAAAAAAAATCTTTAAAATTTTCAAAAAAAAAAAAATGCTCACAAATATTCTATACTTATACAGTGTGCAATTAAAAGATAATACTTTTTTAGTGGTTCTTTGCTATATCATGGTAATACTCTAGAAAATACTCTGTGAAATTTTTTTCTTTTCACACTTCCCATTTACAATTGCTAGCCTTTCAGGGAGCCAAATAAGAAATTCCCATTAAGCCCAAACCTTAAACGCATCTTGTATATCCACTTTCTATCCACTTTGTAACTATATCTGTCACTGCATTAGGACACGACACTTTAAAAGAATGAGTGTGATGTGAAGAGATGAGTGCTGAGTTATAGGTCAGCAAGAGCCATTATGCAGAAAGGAGAAATCAGTAAATTAAAGGTTAATGGATTTATTCCATGAATATGGTATGCTATAAAAAAAGAGTATATTGCGAGAGGACCCATTACTTCCGTGAATGGTGTATCATCAGTAGCCATTTCTGGTCCCTTTAAAAAAAAAAAAAAAAACAAGTAATCTCACCTGTCTTTGGCAAAGGGTAGCTGATGTTAAGTAAGTCTTCCAGGAATGAAAATATCGGGCCTGTGATATTTAAAGCGTAGTCAACATATCCATTTTTAACTGCCTCTTTCCGAGCCCAAATACGTATCTGCAATAAAACAAGGAAATATTATTTTAGACAACCCTCATATTTTCATCTTCTTTGCTTCTCTTCTGTGAATCATTGTTTGAAAATGCTGTTTGTCCACACTAGATCACGCAATAAAGCTTCTCATCAAAAAAAAAAAAACCACAAACAAAAAAACAACCACCCAAGTATTGCCTGACCTAACAAAATATGGAACAGAGCCTAATCCCACTAAAGTCTAGGAGAGCTCTGGCACTTCAAAAGGGCCAAAGATTGAATACAAATATACATTGCTGCAGCAAATGGATTCTCAAGTATTCTTTCATTAAATAAGAAATACCATGAACATATTTAAATGCAAACATCTTAAGCTAGCGTATTCCAATCAGTGAGCCCGGGGGACAAGTTTTCCTTCAGCCCACCACTGGGTTCCTGAAGAGAAAGAAATGGAGCATTAAAGAGCATTTGCTGTTCAAATAGCCAAGTCCCTCCTCTTAGACTTTCTCACAGCCTTGAGCAGGTCTGCTGCTTCTGCTAGAGAGAGGCCTTTCTGAGCAGAAACTACCTCTAGCTCTAGGTAATGGAGACAGGAGCATCAAGCAAAGCTTTCCCTTCCTGTGCCCATGTTCCACACCTGGCTGTCCTGTGGCATTTGCAATGCCATGGCACTGCAGCAGGCAGCTGCTTGCTCAAAGTCACCACATAGGCTGAAGAGAGGAATACATCTCCATCACACACCTCTGGATGCCAGACCCCGAGGCGCCTAGCAGCTCAAAAAACTTGAACATTTTGCATCTAAATGCAGTACATGGTCTCACAAGGGGTTGCACAGCCAAACGGTAATAGCACAGCTGTGGAAGCATCAGGATTTAACTTACAAGGGGAGAAACACAGAATATTCAGTTAGCAGTGTATCCTCAGCCTCTGAGCCCCCCCCTTTTCTGCCAAGGTTCAGGAGTTTCAAAGACCAGATCACTTAATTTTGCAACAGCTAGACATAATGACCATACTTAAAATCCTAATGCTAAAATGAACTTCGAATTGCAATGCAGGTGTTTGGAATTGTTACTTACTTACTTGAAATGTTAGAACGGACGCAGTGAATTGCCCACGCACGTACACTGTGGAGGGCTAAATTGAGCATCTCTGTCTGAAACTTAAGGGAAAAATCCCTCCCCTCCATTTAACAGCACACTTGTGATACCTCTTCCTTCTTCACCCTCTGAAAAACACTAGTTTGAATGCTTTCCTTTACAAACTCCTATCAGTACACGTTAGTCCAAGAAAAAGGTACCGCAATCAGAGCTGCGAGCATCAGTTTGTTTCATAGAGAGGATAGCATATATGACATACATGTGCAAGCTCCACCTTTATAAAGGAGGTAATACTACGCTTCCTACTGCACCTCTGCACTGTCCTCTCACTTTGTCCTACCTTTCCCTAAGAAGATGTCAATGAAGCAATCATAGAGCTAACATACCTAATCTCTGTTGGTTTTTAACAAAAGGTAAACTGAACAACTAATGCCATTACAGTATTTTTTTACAGCTTCTCTCAAGGAGCTTTGGCAATTCTAGTATAACAGGAAAATCCAATACTCGCTGTATAAAGAAGTTTCAAACAGAAAAGTTACTTTTGAAAGCCAAAAATTTGTGCCCACTGCAGAGAAACAAGTACATCAAAGGTTTGGAGCACAGTATTGCCTCTGCTGAGGTCATTATGCCAGAGATCCCCAAAGGGCCAGGGAGAACCAGACACTGAACTTTATTGAGTTGTCACAGCAGCAGAAATGGATATTTTTTCCAATTGAAAGGGCTAAGAATATATGATGATCCGGACCTAGTACTGTATGCAGAATAACTACCTCCTGAAGTTTTAACACATACACCCAATATGTGCCTGTAGAATCACATCAGAATACACCTATGAAATGATAATAACAGGATAATACACTAATTATTATGAAAGAAAATTTTCTGCAGAAATATTTCTAGGATAAACGTTAGCAGTTTTGCCATATAAGCAAATGCTTTTGGAATGGAAAGCACAATTAGTATCTGTGATATCTTCTAAAGCACACGATGTACCACAGAGCCAATTTCTGTTGTAAACTGCTGTAATGTGTTATGTAGCCTCATATTTACCTCATTTCCCCGCTCAGTTCTGGTGACATAGTCGAAATCACAGATCACAAAAGCAGTTATGTAAGTTGACATTTTCAGTGAAGTATCAAATGTGGTAACAGTCCACAGGCTTCCATTTTCATCTTTCATTTCAGAAACATCTAAGAACAAAATATCAAATAAACATTCAAACAATGACTCTTGCATAACAAACAAGCAATGTGATGTTTCCTGCATGTTTTTTACACCTCTCTTTGATATACCGTAGGTCTGCACTAACTTCATATGCTTCTGGCAGCAGGCAAGCAGCCAGTGTCCGCGTTTCTACCACATATCAGAGTTGTGACCTTTCAGTCAAATGCCAAAAATCCACTCCTGAGTTTCTTAACTCAAGCTTTTAAAGCATATCAAACTGCATCAGTTTCAGGATGCAGATAAACTGTGAACAATTTATCCTAGGCTGCATACAATAGGCATGATCGATTATAATTCAAACATAGGTCATGTGCACCTAAGAATTACAAAGTACATAATCAGATACCTTCCTTCTACATAAGAGGGGAAAATGGACAAGATTCTCAGAGAAAAAAATGCTTCCAAGCTATTCCTGCAGAGAACCCATCTATTACAATTCCTAAATAATTTAACTTCTATGCAAATCTCATAAACCTTCTTTATTTTTGACTTAAATAGATTTCAGCAATAAAAAGGATTCAGGGCAATGAACTGAAGAAAAGATCCATCGAGAAGCAGGCAAGAGATTCCACAGCTTCCTATAGGAATACTAACTTATGAAATTTGTTTGTAATCTTAGCCTACACTCCACACGAAGCCGAGCAAGTGACAAGAGTGGCACTGCCACAGAATTATACGTCATTAAATGTAATTCTTATTCCGTACATATACAAGAGACTATAGCCTCCCTGCCTGGTAGAAGACTTTGATATGATGCACATACATCTTAAAAATCTAAATAAAATGAAAACAATCCTTTAATACCACAACTCTAAATTTTCCAGAAACTTCTGGAGCTGCCATTTTGTTTTGAGGAGAGGTCATGCAGTAAGATACACTGGCTATGCAGTAAACGATAAGAATCAGACCATGTCCCCAGGCCCCAGCTACCAGATAAGAGCACATCACAACGGGGAAGTCTTGAATTAGTGCCATCAAAGGCATTAGTTATGAACATCTGCCTGAGAATTTTTAAATTTATAGGCACAGATTTTCTGTGCCTTTTCAAAGCATTAGCCCACGGACAACAGAATGCTTGCAAAGAATGATAAAGTTATACTTTGTTCAGATAAATGATACCCTTTTTTAAGGTAATTTGCGGGGGTGGAGGGGAAACCCACAGAAGTCTACTTGTTGTTTACTTACCAATAGCTGGCATGTTGGACAGAGCCACGTAGCTTGGGTCGTGGATAATTCTTATATTAAATGTGGCTTTCATGGCTGGTTCATCAAAGCATGGATAAACTGTCCTGGCATATGCTGGTTCCAGTTGGGATGCAATCAGCATACTGTAGTGAAAACACAAATAAGATTAATCCAGCATGTTAGAGCTGATCAAAATCAACACAGAGTGCACAAAAATGCCAAAGTAGAAAAAAAGAAAAAAAAACCCAACAAATATATAGATTTGGAAAAGGTTTGTTTATTATTTTAAGTCATGATTAAATCCCCTCCCTGTCAGACAGCTCAGTTTGGAGGCTTCTAAAGAAAAGTAGCTTTTCTAACTGAGTTATGTTCCCCCTCCCCCAGGCTTTTGCGGATATCATATTTTGATTATTTGAGCGTTTCTAGTTTGGTTACTAAGATTGCATTGATTAACGTTTAGCACAGAGGAGGCAAGCGCTCAAAAGTGATACAATGCCCAACTTTCATTTCATAATTAGACTCTCTTCTCTGTACAGCTGCTCATCTCTCTAATGCAGGTTCTTATTTTAGCAATACATTTTCTTAAAAGACTGTAAGCATAATATCTGTCAGCTAACTATGCACACATGCACTTGCATGTGCATGAACATGCACCTACCCCCTTCCATTCAAAACACAGAGAAAAACTCCAGTGAAAGCAGTGCGCCAACCCTCTTCCACTGCTGCAGCAAGCACAAGAAAACAGTCCAGGGAACCCTTTTCTGCCATACACTGAGGAGCTTTGCCTTGCTTGGGGTAGATCTTTGTGACACAGTGACTGGAATCAAAAGACAAATCACTGTATCCAGTGGCCAAAGTTTCGGAGGAAAAAAAGAAAAAAGGAAAAAAAAAAATCTAGCCTGCTCACATTGAGGCGTCTTTCCTGGGTGTTTGAAAAATTCTAATGCGACTGTTCTTCAAGCTCCACACCTGTGGGCCAAAGGCCACTTAAAGCATTGACAACACCATAGGAAATAGACTTTTGCACATATCTGAATGAAGTGAATAATGATACACATGCTAAATATGCGAAGAAGAAAAAGGCATGCAACCATGTAACTCAAGACTATCAAACTTTCCACACTGACTTCAAAAATAAGTCAGATAAGTTAAGGGAGTTCCCAGGAGCTGTGGCATGCAAGAATGGCATGATCATGCTGTGGCATGATACTTTCCAGCTGTGGTTGAGCTATTTCTTAACAATGTATCTGATATATTAGGTTAACCCAGGCTTAGGCTTAGCACAGAGCTCTCACAAACAAGCCAGAGGCCATGAGAGCAGCATCAGCACCTATGCAGTAAGCAATGAGTCAGATCTACACTGCATGCACAGTGCGACTGCATCTGCTACCAGATCTGTAGCGCTGAGCACGGGACCCATCAAAACAATGCCTGCGACCTCAGGGTACACGTTTTGAGATGCCCTTTTTTCAGTATCTGAAATTAACTGCATTGTCTGGAATTAGACCCAAAGAGCAGAGCCATTAGCTTGCTGTTTCCGTTAACAAAATGTAGCAATGTTTCCACCCAACTCCCAAGGTCAGCCCTCATGAAGGTCGGTACCTTCATGAGTCCTTGTGTTTCGACAGATGTACGGCTGCTGCCATTTTAACCACTGTGTTGCCTAACCCTGCTCAGAGCAAATCTAACCAACACGGTTAGGAAAACCACGACGAAAACATCTGCAGCCCATCTACACTATGCCTTTCTCATTGCTGATGGCGTAGAACTGAATTAATATCAACAGGACTAGTGTGCAAAAGCATCACAGTCTCAAGACAAGGTACATCTTGCATTTAACAGATGTATCTTGACACTGTACCATAATCCAATTTATGACGTTTAAAGACTGCATGTTGAACACTGACGCACTCTGACTATCAAGACCATGATGTCTGTTCTGAAGTGAGGATTAGCTCAAGGGAGAGCAGCACAACCTCTCTGACTTCTCGCCTATTAATACAGGAATATTCGTTTTTAAAGACCTGATTCACTGCAAGAGTTGTGTACGCGCTGGGCCAGCCATCAGCTGCCTTACTGAAGCAGCTAAAAGCTTCACCTGAGATCCGAGTATCGCCTCCTGCCCTCCATTATGCTGTTCATGACAGAACAAGTTAAACCTCTGCCAGGGATTGCACAGGAGCAGCAAAAGCAACACGCTGCTTCATCAAGCAATCAGTCACTGAAAACATTCCTGTTCTAGCTTCACCTTCTTCCCAGGCACCCAAGTACACTTTTGTGCGTGCAATTGTGCGTTCAGTTACAGCTTAGCTATAGGAAACGCTGAATAACCTCACTCCTGCAAATTCGCCGGCACCAGGCTCTTTGCTAGGAGAAACTAACGCAGACACAGAGTGAATTTGGCCTACTGCCCACAAGAATTTTTGTTCAATAGCACAAAAAAAATGGAATGGGCCAAAGGACGATCATAAAAAAAAAAAAAAAAAGAAATATGAGGAAGGATTAAAAAGTTGTTTTTCAGCCAGTCTCCAAGTAAGAAGAAAAATGAAAACGTTTCATGCATGTCACACAAACAACAGTTATTTCACAAACGCTACCTCACATCATTTGTCAGAATGAGTCACTGTTGGGGTTTTTTGCTTGTTTTTAGAAAAGGTGGAGGTATTAGCATGAGGTGAATCACCAGCAAATTTTATTCCACGTTCCAATTTTATCACAAATCAAATTACCCAAATGGAATTTCATTTTCAAAAAAGCCTAACATTGCAGGAGTAAGAGAGGAACTTATCAGTCTGCTTAGGCATTTTTGTGCACTGATTCATTTTATATTTATAAAAATTATTTTAAAAAAGAATGCCACCTCCTCCTCCTAGTAAAATAAAATCAAAATCACAATATTTTTAAATAAGGAGAACCAAATAGATAACAGGATCTGTTAGCGTAAACCTTTAACAATTTAAATTCCATCAGTTATTTTTTAGTTGGTGTCTAAATAACAAGGAAAGGAAAACTGAAGAAAGTTTCACGTATAGTACATAACTAGCGGACGTTGTTTCATCTGATAAAAAACATCACTGTAGGAGAAATATTTTATGTTGATGCAAGAAGGTTATTCTTCTAAAAATGCCCTTCTCACTAAAATAATGTTATTAGTAATAGTCATAGCATAACACTTTTGTGCCAACACCTTTTATATCTGCATTTTCCCACACTAAAAACCCTCTCAGAACTAAATCCATAAAATAAACCATAAAGTCGTTCAAAGTAAGAGAGCTTTACAGCGAGCAGAATATTTTACGTTTGCATGCAGTGGTGGCTGTCTCCCACAACCAGTCCTTCTTTCAGGTGACCAGTTCTCAATACTAACATGCAACCCAAGAAAACATCAGACGTGTTATTTGCTCTGATTTTTGTCAAATGACTTTGATGGTCTTACCACAGAATCAGAGAAAACAGAGTTAAGAAGAATATCAGATTCCCTGTTCTAAGGCACAATTAACTGTACCGATGCCATTCTAATCCTATTTTCTGTCATTCTAGTATTTGGTACATAAGCAACTGACCAAAAAAAAAAGTCAGCCTAAATAACGTGTTTGATCGCATTTCGGGATGCCTATTAACACCAGCCCTAGCCAGTCAAATATCTATATAGAATTTGAATGGTATGCTGGAGGAGGATACGTGCAGAACGGGCACTAAGCAAAACGCTCACAGAATTTTGAAACACTAACATGAACACTGATGTACAGGCTGCACTTTTACTGTACTCTCCACAGGGACCCTGGTAACCCTGGAGTAGTATACACGAGCTCGTTCACAGCAGCGCAAGGTCTGCATGCACACCAACACTAAAGCAAACCTCCTGCACTGCACGTGTTCATGCCAGCGCTGCTAAGGAAGGGCAAACGTGGTTTCTATACCTTTCTGCCTACCCTGATCCTGGCGTGAACTCTCCCAGCTATCTGTACAGCACAGAGTCCCCATTTCAAAAGGGGAGCCTTACGGATATTTTATGCTGGGGAAGTAGGAGTAACCTCCTTTTTGACTTCCTCTGCTACTGTGAGCACTGCAGATATGGGCTGTGTGGTATTCATACAGGTATCAGGTGTAAGAGCTGATCAGGTGTGTAGTACAAATTGTTGGCCAAAAAAAAAAAAAAGCATGCTGTCACCTATGATCAAACAGGTCACAGGCAATTTTTGTACTGGAAATTCAGTAAGGTTTGCATTTGATTTGTTCCATTTTCTATAGAGGCGCGATTATCGCTTCTGAAATAGTAGAGCATTCTCATTACAAACAAACTTTCCCACGTGACCTTGCCAGCGTCATTCAGCTCTGATTTGGAGAGAACAGGGAATGGTACTTTGTGTCAATTAGCTAATTCTGCAAACTGGTCAAGTGCAACGCAGACATCTGACCAAAAAAAACTGTAGGTGCCAAAGCCCAGACCCAATGAACATTTCAGAGGCTTCACTTCTCTTTAGGATCCAGCTAAAGAAAAAAAAAAAAGCCAAAAAAAATCTTGCCGTTCAGTGCTTAAACATCCCTGTAATCAGAGGTCTCCAGTAGTTTCACAAGCGCAAACTATAAAAACTACTACAATTTCTAGCACATACAAAAAGTACAAGAATCTGTTTGACTGTAGATAAATGGCACATTGTTAAAAGTTGGGCGGTTTAAGTTACAGAGTTGATTGGTGTTAGAGTGGACTAGAGAAGCCCGAGAAGTCAGGAGCCTAGACAGGAACCAGATCCCAAAAGGTCTGCTGGGGCCAGGTGAAAGTCTCTTTGGAAAAAGCTATCAATGGAGACAGCGGTTTCCTGCCAATATCATAATGGGCTTTATTTGTACAGGCAGCCCCGAGCTGAAAGACACTGAATGTTTCTAAAACAGCTCCTGACTTATTAGGTCCTCCATCAGAATTCAACTTTTAACATCATAAACAGCTTGTGAGAGCTTACAAAAGATAGACCTCAAAATGCATCTCCTCCAAAAAAGGAGGACAAAACCTCTTCAGTGTTACTGGACCCCAGCAGATTAGGAAACTGCTACGGTAAAACGACGACTTCATCCTTAGTAAAGGGGGGGAAAAAAAAAAAAAGATACTGTTGCATGCTCTGGATTCAGAGAAAGCCTTTTTAAAGCAGAAAAGATATGTAAAATCCATTTAAGAACATCAGGAATGCAGGCAGGAACAAGTAACCAAAACAAGATGTTATTCTGCAATCAGTGGATTTCCTTTGATTTATTCCAGTGTCTGAACACTACTGGCATCTTCGTTGACCAGATGGCAATCTCAGATTTTATTAGTGCTTCATGACGAGTTAAGAGTAAAACGGAACAACTGTCATAAATCCTTTAAACCCTTCGAAATGCACATTATTTTAATGATTTTAAAACGTTTGTTCCTGCTTTCTACTATGTCAAAGCTGACACTAGCACTTTTTTAGATCCTTTGAATTTTACAAAATATATTTCTGTCTAATTCAGTGTTTATTAGATAGGATTTGGTTGAATTAATATGGTATCAGAAAGTAATTTGAAGCAGCATTAAATAATTAAATGCTTGTTCCATTCTTACTTATTTAGAATAATTGTTTAAATGTAAATTAAGCAAAGCATTCCATCTTTTCCTTAACAAACTCCGAAGTTGGGTAAATACGCCCATGAATGACAAAGTAACGACTAAAGAATAACTTTGGACCATACCGTAATTTTCTGTCATGCTAATCAACTTACCTCCTTTCCCTTAAAAAACAAACAAACAAACTGCCCAAGTTAAATTTTCCAGATGTGGAAGACAATGGTATCAGTGAAGATTTACACAAGAACATAAGAGCTGGCAGCTGAAAAGCCTGCTCATTGTGATGGGGCGGGGGGAGGGGAGGGGAAATCGCACAATCCTCTTCTGTTTCCATTCAAACAAAAAAAAAAAAAGAAAGAAATTAGCTTTATTTCAGGGTTTCTTATTACTACTACTCCTGTAGGGGCAGGTACATATGGATCTGGGGAGTAAGTGAATATTACCTGTTGGCTGGGAGCCAAGACCTCTTGAGTTTTAACTCTAGTTCTCCTTCTGACTCACTGTGTGATCCTCAGCAATTCACTACATCTTTCACTATCAAAAATGAAATAACTTTAAATAAGCCTTTTATCTGCTTCTATTTTAAAGTCTTTATCTTGAGATAGTTGTCCTTCAACTAAAATCTCCGTGTTAGGTTTCACTTTTCTTTAGCAAGTTTCACATCCAGAAACTTAGGATGAAACTCACTGAGAAGATTCCCAGTTTAAAAAAAAAAAAAAAAAAAAGGCATTATTTTGAGGCTGACTTTTTTTAAAATGACTGACTGCTTGATAAACCCACGCTGTCCCAACCCTAGTTCCACAGTTCCAAATAAACAAATAAAGCATCACAATAGCACACATTAAGGACATACTTAAACACAGACACACCCAGTGAAGACATCCAAGCAACTTCACGTGCAAAGAGCACCTATGAACTCCTGCTCTCCAAAGCCACGACCCAGCCTGTTCCACTGCACAGCGGAAACGCGTTACCATCAGCGTCTCTGCAGTCATGCCCGAGTACACCGCCCAAATCCTGAACTCCAGATCAGTTCCTCACAGACGTACGTGAGGCGAGAAGCTGTCATTTCTACAGGGGAACGTACGAGCTCAGAAATAAGATCCCCAGGAACTGGACGTAGGTATTGTCCGATCCCTCACGATCGGAAGGGGGCGAAGAGAGAGAGACTCGACGCTGTCTCAGAAACTTTGCTTGACCAGTTGAGACAGACCTTTACCTTTCCCATAAGCCTTCCGCGGTTTGCCAAAAGAAGACCCAGTCCGACAGACTCCAAAAAAGCCCCTGGGGTAAAAGGAAGAAAAGCCGAAATGAAGGGCTAGGGAAAAAAGTCAATCAGCTGCTTTAAGGGACAGTTACCAAAGCTGGGGAAAAGGGGAAAAATGGTGAAGGGAGCCATTACAGCCAACTTAGAGGCAGGCGACAGAGCAGGAAACCAACACAGTGCAGCAGGGAGGCAACACGGATAGAAAGAAACAGTCGAGAGACCTGGGAGCCCAGCGGACTTGCTTTTTGCAGAGTTTTGGGGGAAACCCAGAGAGTTTTCATTTCACGTTACGTTTGAGCACCGACGTCCTGCAACACGTGAATTAACCCGGGCCTGAAACGCGAAGCTGGGAAGAACCTTAGGCGCTGGGTTCAACGCAGCACGCGCCACGCGCTTTGCCCCTCCGCAGGGAGCAGCTCCCCAGCCCCTGCCGCGACGAGTCCCAGCGCCCTGTCGGCCACGGCAGCTCCTACGGGAAACCCAGGGCGAACCGCCTGGTGCTTTCCGGAGAGGATGACAACAGCCCAGCAGTGCACGCCTGCTTTTGCGCAGAGTAACCCAAGAGGTACGCGTGGGGGAAAGGGACGGCTTGCACGACCGACTGGCCACCTCGCCCTCGCGCCGGCTCCCGCCACCGCGGCTGGCCGGGGCGAACG